GCCGTGGTTGTGTTGTCTTCAATGCAGATGCCCTTCCGCTGGTTGCGGCCGCTCTTGGATCCAAGCAGTTTCGATTCTCGCTTGAACGAGTCGCTGCGCAGGCTCTGAATCAGGGACGTCTTTCCGACTCCATCTGTTCCAAAGAGAAGAGCGAACATGAGCACCCATTCAAAAATGTACAATACACGCACACGCACCACCGCACACGCACCGCCGCACACACACCACCGCACACACACCACCGCACACGTAATTGAGGGAGATAGCACCATCGCCAAGAACGTAGACCTTCGATCTCGAAGGAGACCAGTGGGAGGCCAGCATCTCCCAGAAGTGCTTGACCAGCGCCTGAGGCGCAGGCGGCGCGGTGGAGACGAACGCGGGATCGGCCGGCGCCGCGCGGGGAGCGGCCACCGCCAGGATCTGGAGGTAGGTAGTCATGTGCGGCGACGGCTTGTTTTGCTCGATGTCCAGCTTGGCCAGGCTGAACAGAAAGCCGATCGACTCGGGCAGCCAGCTCAGCTGATTCTCGCGCAGGTTCAATTCCTTCAGGTCGTCCAGCGCGCCTGTTCGACCGAAGCAAGGTGACGTCAGCCGTGAAGAATGCAGAGAATGGCCAGACCACGAGGGTGACGATCGACGCACCAATCTCGTAGGGCAAGGCGGCGAGCTGGTTGTAGGCCAGGTTGAGGGAGTTGAGCTGGGCGAGATTGCCCAGGGAGGAGTGAAGGCGCGAGATCCGGTTCTGCGACAGATCCAGCTTGCGCAGCGAGGTGAGCTCGTACAGGGACCAAGGCACCGCGGCGATGTCGTTGCCCCGGGCCTCCAGCACCTGCATGCCACCATCAAACTATTGAGCTATGCTGGTCGGCCGCTACGTCGACAAAGAGTGACGTACGGTGAGGTGCTTGAGGCAGCCTATCTCGGTGGGCAGGGAGGTGAGCCGGTTGAAGGAGACGTAGAGGTGGCGCAGGTTGACCAGCCGACACACCTCCACGGGGACCTGGGTGAGCTCGTTGAGGGAGAGCACCAGCGTCTGGCACGTGAACTGCAGGTTGGCCAGCGAGGGAGTGCTGGCGCTGAACCCATGCCACACGCCCTCGTTACGGAGCGCGTTGGCCATCAGGCTGAGCCTGTGCAACCACACACGACACACACATGACATGACACGACACACGACACGACACACACGACACGACACGACGGTCAGCTGAAGGCGTGGGTCACTCGCCAGAAACAGACACGAACCGTTTGGCGGGCAGGCTGTAGATCTGTTCCAGGTGCTGGGCCACCTCGGCCGCGCTGGTCGACGGGGCGAGCTTGAAGGCCTGGTCGTTCCACTGCTGCAGAAACTTCTGCTCCTGCCTCCGCTCTCGGTTGCGCGCCCTCTCGCGCGCCTTTTCCTTCTCCTCCGCCTCTGTGACCAAACAGGCGTGATCCAATCAGAGATGCAGAAAGCCTGTGGCCGACAACGACGACGAGATTGGTACGTTTCTTGGTCTTGGCGATGAACGAGGCCCGCGCGCTGGGGCTGATCGAAGTCGAAAGTCGGCTGTCGCTGCTGCTGCCAAACTGAGCGGCCCACGAGGTGGTGGCGTGGGCAGCGTGGTTCGACTGGCCCTCGCCTTTGAGGTAGTACTCCAGATACAGTTCCCACGTCACCAGATCTTTGCCTTCAACGAACACGAACCAGCGTCAACAGCCAACATGTGCGTCGTGTGTGTGCGACGTTGCAAGTGCGTTCGTGCGTGCGTGCGTGTGCGTGCGTGCGGTGTTAGTACCTTGTACAAGCTTTGTGCGATGGGCGCGGAGGAGAGCGAGCATGCGCTTCACGGACTCGCGCGGAAGGAGCGCTCCCTGCGGTCCTACCAACCCTCCGCCCTCTCGCCGCACGCTCTCCGGCGTCACCGGCGCCTCCGCCACCTGCTGGCGCACCTCTGCAGCGCATCGGAGAAGAACGAAGAACGATGAGAAAGAACGAAGCGCTAAGCTAAGAGCGCCGTTCAATGCCCAGCGCGATTGCGTGCATGGCAGGAGCGCGGCGGGTTACCCTTGTTAGGCGCGGGCGCAAACTTGCGCGAGGCGATGATGCTCCCCAGCACCGACTTGCGCCCGCCCTCTTGCGCCGGCGGTTGTTGGTCTTTGTAGCGCTCCTCGAGCTGGTCGAGCTGCCGCTTCATATCGTTCATCTTCTCCCTGTCGTGTCGACGATCATTCACCGCCGGCAGAAGCGAGAGTTGAGAACGTAAACTATGGGCAGCACATGCCCTCCGCCTATATCAAGGAGTACCTGTCGCTGGCCATGGCGCGGTAGCGGGAGGCCACCTGCTCCAGGGAGTTGGCCGCCTCGGACTCGCGCGCCCACCGACGCTTGGTCTCGGGCGTGGCGCCGTGCGAGGCGCTGGAGCCGAGCGCGCCTATGGCGGCCTGGCCGGCCAACGACGACGACGAAGAGGCCGAGACGGAAGAAGTCAGCGCCGGCGACGATGACTTGGACGGCTGAGCGGTGGTGAGGGTGGTCGAACGCGCTTCCGGCGGCGGAAGCGGCTTGAGCTGGCCCTCACCGCCCGTCGTGGGCAGCCGACTGGTCGACGCGCTGCGGAAGCTGCCCAGCGCTGCCGAGCGCTTGCCAGACACGGGCGAGGAAGTGGGCGAGGCCCCAGGCGACGCGGTCCAGCCGCCACGAGGCGAGTCCGCCGGCGACAACGACGACGGCGACGGCAACGACGGTGATACGGAGGAGGCCGACATTCGATGTCCGCGCGCAGTCGATGGAGACGAGCTGCCCGGTATGCTGACGGCCTGCGAGGCCGGGAAGCGCACGGGCGTGAACGACGCCGGCGGCGATGATGATGAGGGTGATGTGGGTCGGAGGAGGGGCGTCGGGGAGGTCGAAGTCGAGCGAGACAGCGGTGACTGCGGCGGCGACGCGTCGCGTTCAAGGAGGGAGAGCGGCGACGGTGATGCGAGGGAGCTGGCCTGCCCGGGCGGTGAGCCCAGGGAGGCGAGCGGGAGCGCAGTCGCGGATGAAGAGGGCTTTGGGGAGGAAGGAGACGAGAGCGAGGGGAGAGAGGGCAACGACACAGAATCGTCTGCGACCGGGGAGGAAGGCGGGAGCGGAGGCGGCGGGAGGGCCGCCAGGCTCAGGTCGTCCATCGGCACGGCCCAGCCGGACCCGCCGCTGACAGCTTCGTCCTCAACTTCGACCTCGACAGCAAATTCGGCTTCCCCCTCCTCTTGCTGCTGCTGCTGCTGCTGCTGCTCTGCGAAGCGCAGCGCGTCATCATCGCCGGCATCGACGCCGATCGCGACCGCAGCGCCATCGCCGGCGACGCGGGCCGTCTGCTCCACGCGCTCGGCTCCGACCTCGTCGAGCTCTACCACCAACTCGGGCAACAGCTGCGTCGGCGTCGGCGGCACAGGGAGGGCACCGAGGTCAGCCGGCAGCAGCTCGTGGGCCGCCGCCGTGCAGTACTCAAACGAGGGCTCGGGCTGGGTGCTGGATGCCACCGGGATCGGGGGCCACGGTGTTGGTTGCTCCGCTCCATCTCGCTCGCCCGTGCCCGGCACCAAGTCGCCGCCATTTTCTTCTCCTTGGGACGTGACAGACCCGGTGCTGGGCGCCGTCTCGACTGTCTCGACCGAAGATGAAGAAGAAGAAGATGGAGAAGAGGATGAAAGAGGAAGAGGAAGAGGCGGGGCGTAGGCCGCTGGCGTGTGTGATGGAGGCAAAGAAGACGAAAGAGAAGAAGAGGTAGGAGAAGGTAGAGGGGAGGTAGCGGTGGAGGGGGCGGGGATGGAGGGGGGAGTGCCGAGGGTCGGGGTGGGTCGAACGGTGCGCCGCATGAGCCGCTGCTTGTCGGCAGCCCGGCGCCGCGCATCATCCACCAGCTGCCGTCGCTCCTCTTCCGCGCGCGATGTCCGCGCCGCAGGGTCGAGCGCGCTCCTCTCCATCGCGCCGGCACAAGCACACAAACACAACCACCCCACCCACACGGTACCTGTTGTGGCCCTCCTTTGGGGTCGATCTCGCTTCCAGGTGGTACCGGGAACGAATCGGGAATCAATTCGCAATTAATAGTGAAATAATGTCGACAAAATCCGCCAATAAGCGCAGTCCTTATTTTCTTTTGGTTTCCTTCTATTTTCCTTAAATTAATACCTAAAATGTCACAAAACTGTTGGATAGATCCGGGGTACGCTTGCGATCGGGTTGGGGGGGGGAGCTTACGTCGCTCTTCGTTCTTTCTTCTTCTCGGCATAGCTGGCCCTTGGATCGCTCTTCGCTCCGTTCTCCTCCCTTCAGCTCGAGTAGAGGACGCCGCGGGTGAGGAACTGGAACCGATCGTACTCCCGCGTGCGCCAGCTGCCCAGCGACGTCTGGACCAGGGAATCGATGTAGTCCCGGCACTCCTTCTCCGTGTAGCCCATCCGGAACCGCTCCGCCATCGCGTCCACCGCCGGCTTACCGCCAGCCAGACACGGCAGCACCGACGTGTTGTACTGCGGTGTGGGGGGGGGGTTGCGTGCGTGCGTGCCGTGTTGTGTGTGGTTAGGTAAAGGAAAAAATGGGAGGAGTGGACGGATGAAGGTACCTTGGAGTTGATGAGCCACATCTCGAGGATGAGGATGATCTTCTCGTGATACTTGCGCGCCTCCATGAAGCCGCGGAAGAGCAGATCCTTGTAGTACGTGAATAGCGTCGAGCCCGCGCCGCCCATCACTTCCACATACTCTGGCGTCAGCTTGAACGGCGCCGACTCGAAATTGAGCGAACCGGGACTGAACAAGAGAGGGAAAGACGGTGAGAAGACAGAAAACCACAACACACACACACACACACACACAGCACAATGCACTGTGCGTACCTGTTGAAGATGAAGAAGCCGTAGTCAATGTGGATGATGTGGCCCTCGGAATCGATCATGATGTTGCCGTTGTGCCTGTCCTTCACCTGAAGGAAATAGCAGACCAGCGAGTACGCCGCCATCGACTCCACAAAATTGAGACGCGCCCTGTCCAGGCTCTCTTGGGTGCGGTACACCTGAATAGTTTTAAAAAACCCCACAAATGTGGCCGCCAGTCAGCGTGGTCGACCAACAGAGTGCGGCAGAGCGGCATGGATGCGACGCACCGTCTTGAAGTACTGCGCGAGGGACATGCAGTTGGTCCGCTTCTTGAGTTGGTGGAGAGAGATCGAGTCCGGGATGAGCTCGATCAGCCCGCTGTCCGCCGACGTCACCAAAATGCGCAACCTACGCTCGGACCACCACACCGACCGACCCGGAGGAAAGTGAGCGCTGGGGCTCTACAACGAGAGATCTCTTCCGAGAGGCCCAATGGGGGGGCGTACGGGTAGAGGAACAGCGGCAGCAGCCCGTTTTCGAATATCTCCTTGAAGTGCGTGAGCAGTTGCGAGGCCTGGCATCCCATTATGAAAAGGGGGAAGGTGCGCAATGGGGCGACTGGTGAGCACACCGACACACGACACACGCAGCGACCAGTTGAGTTTGTACCAGCTGCTCTTGGCGCAAGTCATCTCCGCTCTTCACAATCACCGCAGCCAGCTCTGCGAGAGCATAAAATCAGCTCAAGCGCCAGGCGTAGGCCGACTTATGATGGCAGGTGGGAGCGTGAGGGGAAGGAAAAGGAGTCGCGTACTCCAGTTGGGAAGGTGAGAATAGGGCGACTCCTTCCGAATTCGATTCTCCTTGTCCTTCCAGCTCTCGCCGAAGATGGAGCAGAGCGTGACCTCGGGCTGGTCCGGCTTGCCGTTCGTAACGTCGACGGGCACGACGGCCAGCGCAGCCGCCGGCGGTTGAGGCTCGGGCTGCTCGGGCTGCTCGGGCTGCTCCGGCTCCTCGGGCTTGGGCTCCTCCACTGGAGCGGGCTTGGTCGGTTCGGCTTCGCTCTCCTCGTGCTGCGACTCGCTGTCGGACTCATCGGATCGCTTGCCCATCTCGTAGAGCTTCTCGAGCATGGCGACATCGGATTCGCTTCTCGAGCCGTCGCCGATCTTGAGGGAAAAGCCCTCATCTTCCCCCTCGTCGTCCTGCTCCAGCCCATCGACGTCGCTGTGGTCGCCTCCGTTGTTGCGGTCATCGGCAAAGGGTGAGTCGGGCGTCCACTCCCCATTTTCTTGGCCGTCGTCGTCTTCGCTGTCTTCGTCCTGCAGCGAGGGCAGGTTCTCCTCGGAATAGTAGCCCATCTTGCGCACGATGGACGACGCCTTGACTCGCCTCGAGGGGGTGAGCGGCGAGACAGACTGCTTGGCCGACTGTGAGGTGCGCTTGGCCGCTGCGGGGCTGCCGTTCTTGGACTTGGGCTTCTTCGCGGCGGCGGCGGCGCCGGCCTTCGAAGGATCGGCGACGGCGTTGGGCTCGTCAAAGGGCGAGAGCACACCGGGCACGCCGGCGCCCAAGCGTGCGCTCTCGAGGTTGAAGTTATGGAGGTTGGGCGCAGAACACTTCTCCCCGCTCTCGATGATTTCGTAGAAAAATAAATAAGGTACCTGCAAAGAGAAGAAGAAAAAGTAAGCTGCGTTAGCTGCTGGAGTTCATCGGGCGAGACGGTCTATGGCGAATTGCGTGGAGCGTTACCCTGGCCTTGGAGTGCAGGGGTATGGACTCCTGCGGCAGCAATCGAACGATGCAGTGGTGCGAGTCCGTCGCGCCGCAGATGGGGAGGTAGAGGCCATCCACCAGGTGCTCGCCGAGATACTTGAGATCCCGCTCGAGTCGCTCCTCTGCCGGAAGGAGAAGAAGATGACGAGGTGAGTGGAGAGAAAAAGCAACGAAAATGGCCATGCGCTTTCCAAAGGAAAGGATCCGTACTTCGCTGGTCATCGGGCACGAGAATGAGCTGTTCGCCGATGTCGATGAGTTTATCTACAAATGATACCACGTTGCTGTAGTACTGCGCCCGCTCGCGCTTGGACAGGCCGATGATGATGTGCATGGCGTCCTCCTGCGGCAGCGCGTCCGTGTTGAGGGCTTCGTCCCACCTCTTGTACGAGTCTTCCTCCGCCTCCTGTGTTCAGTGGCGTAGTTTTGGGGGGAACAAGAAGTGAGCCACACAGCCGAGGAGCCTGTAAGAAGAAGAGCTTACCTTGTTGTCCTGGTAGAGCTCGTTGTCATCCTTTTCGTTTCCGCTGTCCTCGCTCGAGGCGGTCTCACCGGCGGCAGGGGCCGACGTTTCGTCTCCGTTCGTGGCCGACGTCGCACTGGCACTGTGCTCGGCCTCACCGGCGTCGCTCTCGGGCGCGGCGGCAGACCTCTGGACGGGAGCGGGAGCATCGCTGTCGCGCCTGCGAGGCGAAGGCAGGTCGATGTGCTGCGGCAGCGAGTTCCTTCGTGCGCCCAGGCTGCGCATCAGCCTCCGGGCGTAGAGGAGAGGGTCGAGGGACCGATCGATGTCCTCCACCACATCGCCTTCGCTCTTGGCAGGCCCTCCCACCGACACGAACGGCGAGAAGTCCACCAGAGCCCTGCGGCGGTGAAAAGAGAGCGAAACAAATGGCGATGTGAGGATCAGGGGATTGAAGCAGCAGCAGCGATCGGTTTTCACCTGAGACGAAGGGAGCTCTTGCAGTTGACGGTGGCGATCTCGACCTCTTCGTGCAGTCGAAGGCAACGTTCTTTGAACTCTTTCTCCTGCGGCGTCGTCGGCAGCCGATCTCCGCCATAGGTGATGTACGCCTGTGCATAGCGACGGTGGAGTGAGATGCTCCGTTGCAGTGGCGCACACACATACTGGGAGGCAAGCAAGGGGCTCGTTTTACCTGCAGCTGCCAGGCGATCTGAAGCGCGAAGTGCATAGAAGAGGCGCACTTGTCCATCATGAAGCGCGCAAGGGAGCTGTCCTTCTCCTTCTTGTTTAGCAACAAGATGCTGTGCACACGCGGAGAAAGAGTTAAAACGATGAGTGACGAAGATGTGGCGATTTGTTTGTGATTCAGGCACGGGCATATCGATGGCAATTTGAGAGTACTCCCAAATTGAGTGGCTAGGCAGGAGATGCATCTCATTTGAGAGACGAGGGGGGATGTACCAAAGTTGTGGAATGTATTTCTCCACCTCGCGCTCTTGAAACTTGTAGAGCTCGTTGCAAAGGTAATCGCACACGCCTGCGTGCTCGCGAAACTTGTAGAGGTAGGAGATGGTGATCCAGGAATCGAAGAACATCGATTGGAAGAATCGCAGCAGAGATCCGACGTTTGCGGCAGAGATGGGCTCCATTGACATCATCGTGACGGTGCTCGCAGTCAAGGGCTCCGTTTCGACCGTGCCTGACGAGCCCAGAGACGAGGAGCCAGACGAGCTGCTGCTGTTGTTCGATTCTTCCTCCGATGCATCGAGGTCCCTAATCTGTAGCACCAGCTCCTCATCGCCGTCCATCATCTGAATCTCCTTACCTTTCCTGTCCCCCATCTGATAGATCTGCCCTCGCTAGGCAAGAGCAGCTGCCCAGGGGCGCAGAGGAGTGGGCGTATAAATGATCCGACCGTCCAATTGATTTCGGTGGCCGATGATGTGTCCGCGATCGCGCACCTCACCCCTGCACGTCGCGTGTCGGCAAAAGAAATTGGAAAAGAAAACCACTTTTGCCCGCCAAGTGGTACGGTGCTGGTGGTCTACGGAGCTAAGGTGGTTGGGTCATACACAAAGGTCGTCGGTCTGTGGTTTGAGAGTTGTGTATGACCCAACCACCTTAGCTCCGTAGACCACCAGCACCGTACCACTGACGAGAATGCCTCGCACATCACCCTCACGTCCTCCCTTTAGGATTTTCCGTATTATAAGACGCGTGCTCTTGTGACTCCCTCACTTGGCGGTGGCTGACGATGCTGGAGTGCGGTCCACGAGATCGCCGCCTTCCTCCCTCATCCGACTGTCGCTCGGGGCCTTTGTCGTGGTCTTCGACTTCTTCACCTTCTTTTTCGGCTGCAGCCTCTTCCTGCGGCCCGCCTCGACCTCCTCCAGGTAGTCGCTCTCATTCTCCTCGTCCTCTTCGTCTTCGAGGTAACCCTCCTCCACGCCCTCGCTCTTGGGCACGAACGGCTCGGAGCTCTCGAAGCTGGCCAGCTCGTTCAAAACGTCGCACAGGCTCACGCACCCGATCGGCA